ACCTTGTCGAATCGCTCTCGCAAGTCCTCCCAAGCCGTCCGTGCATCTTGTAGATATATGAGACTGTTCGCAAGGTCCTTGGAAACTGAGTTTAAAATCCAAGAAAACACCACGGCATTACACCTCTCCCAGTGTTCCTTGAGACGCGAATCTTGTTCAATCCTTTCGCACGATCCATCTATGAAGCCGGTCTTGTTCTTACCTCGAAGTGCAATTAACATTGCCTTGCTCCAAATCGCATAGTTCTCAGCACTTCCCGTCAGCATGATGAGTAATGATCGACGCACCTTGCGTATCCGAAGGATGGAGGTAGAGCAGGCTTCCGAAATCGATCATTCCGTCATCGGAGCCTTTCGCTTCTCCTACGATTCTTGTCATCGTCAAATCAGAATTCACGGGACTCTAAACGCGATATGATTCTTGATTCAGGGATGATTGAAAGATTGCGTAGGTGTCTTCGTCGGTGGTTTACCAGTTCATTCTTGAATCGCAGTCAAAGATGAGGGATTTGGAAGAATACGGGTTCCGGTTGCTGGGCCCTTCTCAACCGGTATTAACGGATCTTGACTGACCCGAGCTCTGATGCCATGTTAGCCATCAGAGTTACACGCAGCATACTGAATTGTACTCTTATTCATTGAGAAAAATCATAATACACCAACAGGCCTTGTCCATATATATAGACCTACACACCAAATGGGCTCAACTAATTAGCTCCTAGGCCCAAACCGAAACAAACCAAACACTATAACAATTCAATACCAGGATCAATAGTAATAATTATTATTTGTCCATTGTTCTGTTCGATATGTAAAGCTGTCAAGTTTCATTGTTCCATATAAATTTTCATGTATGTTGAGTTGTATTTTTGCTATTGTAATTTTTTGTATGTAGGTTTTTTTCTTACCAGACTCATATGTAGGTTGCTAATTTTGTATTCTTTCGTGTAAATTTTCAGATGTTGAATTGTATCTTTTCTATTTTTTGTTGTAATTTTTTATATGTGGATTTGTTATATTTCTATTCTTTATTATAAATTACCATATGTAGAGTATTTTTCTGTTTTAAATTTTCATATGTAAAGTTGTTGATTTCCTATTTTGTTGTTGTAAATTTTCATAAGTAAAGTTGTTTTGCAAAGAGCTAGAAAAATGATGATGAAGAGAAAAGATAAAAAGAAGACGACGACAACGACGAGATGGAAAGTTTTTAAGAAAGAGTTTGCTGCAAGTAAAAAAGAGAATTTACACAGTTTTGGAGAGGTTTCTCAAAATGCAAGCCATGTTTGGCATAAAATGGCTGATGCGGAGAGGGAGCCAGTCAAACAAAAAGCCTTAGAGCTAAAAGGAGAAACAATTGAAAATATGAGATTTTACAATAATTGGTAGAAAAATAACAACTGAAAATATAAAAAATTACAATAAAGAATAGAATATTAACAGCCCCCATATAACAACTAAAAATATGGGAATTTGCACCCATTAATAGGAAAATAACAACTGGAAATATGAAAAATTACAACAATTAATAGCAAAATAACAACTGCAAATATGTTACATTTACAATAAAGAATAGGAAATTACATGGGAATTTACACCAAGAAATAAAAAATTAACAACTGCGTATATGAGAATTACACCAACAAATAAAAGAAATTAACAGCCGCATATATGGGACTTTATACCAAAAAATAGAAAAATAACAATTGAAAAGCTGAAAATTTACAACAATTAATAGGAAAATAATAAATAAAAATATTGGAAATTAAAATAAAGAATAGAAGATTAACAACCATATATATAGGAACTTACACCAAAGAATAGAAAAATAAAACTGAACATATAAAAAATTACAACAATTAATAGCAAAATAACAAATGGAAATATGGGAAATTACAATAAAGAATAGAAGATTAACAACCTCCATATAAATCTATTGCTACCAACCTTCTTAGTTCTTCATATGTCATCCTTTTTGTTATCAATCTTTTCCTTCTAGTCCCACCCTCATATACTGATTTTCCTTCTATATTCTTCACATATTCTCTTCCTACACAGAAGATACAAAATAATTGTTTTGCACAAATGCTAGCCATATGAGCCTCCGCACGTATTACACAAATTTTAATTACTTACCAAAACTTAATATAAATTTACAACTACAATTACAAAATTTACAACACAACGTTAACATTTTCACAGGGCAAATTCTATACAAGTTAGTTTGATATGATCAGTGTCCACCACCTTTAACCGTGTAAATATTTGGAACTGCTAGTCATATCTGATGTGCCTTTGTACTTCATTATTATGTAAGTTTCAATTACTCAACAAAAGTTATACAAAGTATGATTTTACAACTACTCTTACCATGTTTACAGCATAAGTATTTTCGCAACAAAAATTCTGAACGATGGAACTTTCTGAATCTAAGTTACACATTACCTCAATGACGACACGATTTCCTACTAATTGCGCGGCTCAATCACGTTGCCGATGGAGGTCGCACAGAAACGCAATTTCAGAATGATGGTAGAACATTGCAGAAGATGGAAGTTTCTAAAAACCCACCATCAACGATTGAAGAACTAAAATCAGGGTCACCGTCGTTGCTCATTATCTCCTCAACTTGAGAAATGGCAGGCTGCATGTTGAGACTTCCTCAGTTTGTTTCTCGCGATCATGTTTATGCTCTTCTTTCCTTTATTCCTTCTTTTTACCTAGGGACATTTTTGTAAACATACTTACCATTTTAATTTCATTTCAGTCCACATAAACTTATTTGTATTTTCAGATTCTTTGGGACCTAAAATTAAGGGAAAATGGCAATTAGGTCCACTCAAGGGAATTAATACAAAAAAGTCTCTTAAAATTATGAATTATTTAAAGTCTCAAAATTTTTTTACATTAAATTTTATTTGTTTACTTACCAATTACCCTTTTTTTTTTTTTAGTTTGCATTGACAACTGAAAGAGCAGTGATTGACAACTCAGGATGCAAAGATTGACAACTATCGCGGCTGGTTTGACAACTTATGATATGATATGCTGAGAAAATGTGTTGTCAAACCAGCCGCAATAGTTGTCAATCCTTACACCTGAGTTGTCAACCACTGCTCTTTCAGTTTCAATATAAAGTTAAAAAGAAGAGAAGGTAATTTTGGTAATTAAACAATAAAATTTATTGCAAAAATCCCTTGGGACTTCAGAATAATTTGATGATTTCAAGGGACCTTTTGCATTTAATTCCCTTGAGTGGGATCTAATTACAATTCTCCCTAAAATTAATTAACTTCACTTTGCGGGACGCTCAATACCGAACCGAACCAAATCAAGTCCACGTAAACCGATCGAAGTTGAACTAAACCAAGCTTTCGAACGTCCTTAACCTGAGGTACGTAATTCAAGCTCCATGACGCATGAACCGTTGCTCGTAGGAAAGCAAGGAGGGAGGAACAGCGATCGGGAAGAAGACATCAATCGGCTTTGGACATGGGACATGGACAACCCTTCTCCCCAGGTTTTCTTGCCAAAGGCGCCGCCGACGCAGCGGTTGCCATGGCTGATACCGCTCATGTTTCTGGCAAACACGGCCTTGTTTGTTTATGCAATGTACCTGAACGATTGCCCTTCTTCTTCCCCTCCGGTTCACTGCCTCTTCACCCATCGTCTCGGCAGATTCTCTTTCGAACCAATGAGTGAAAACCCCCTTCTTGGCCCTCGCATCGACACGTTAGTCTCAATCCTTCCCGTCTCTCTTTTATCTACTTTTCCTGTTTCTTTTCGTATTGAAGATATCTATATAGGTTTTGACGAAGTTGATGCAGGCTGAGGAAATTGGGAGCTCTTGATAGGGAGCTAATTCTGGAGAAGCACCAAGGATGGCGCTTCGTGTCCTGCATATTTCTCCATGCTGGAGTTATTCATTTAGTTCTCAATATGTTTAGTCTTTTAGTCACAGGAATCGGACTTGAGAAGGAATTTGGATTCTGTAAGCTTTTCTTTGTTTTTCTGTTTAATGTTTAATCCGTTTTAAACTCTAATGAATAGACTGATTAGTGGAATCTTGGATGGGTTAATTTGGCAGTGAAGATAGGATTAGTGTATGTGTTATCTGGTTTTGGAGGAAGCTTGGCATCTGTTGCGTATGAAAGGATCTGCACAACACCAAGTTTCAGTTGGTGCATCAGGTGCACTTTTTGGCCTTCTGGGTTCCATGCTTTCTGAACTTCTCATCAACTGGTCTGTCTATACTAATAAGGTAACATACTCTGCCCAAAAATATCCACTGAGCTTTCTTTTCCCCCTTAAATTCATGTTTTGTTATCAATACATGAATCTGATACGTTTATTATTTCATAGATATTATCCAACTCGACTCAACTTTCACATATATCATTGCAAATGTTGACCCTTTTATTAATTCCTTCAGTGTTCAGCTCTGATGATTCTAGTGGTGGTTATTGTTCTAAATTTGGCGGTTGGGTTCCTACCAAAGGTGGACAATTCAGCTCATATAGGAGGATTCATCTCAGGGATTTTACTGGGTTTTGTTTTCCTGATGCGACCTCAGTATGGATATATAAACCCAAGGCACATCCCTCCAGGATATCAGGCAAAGCAAAAATTTAAACACTCTTGCTGCCAATATTTCTTCTGTCTCGTAGCATTAATCTTGGCCATTCTGGGGTACATCACTCTGATCTTTTTAGTGAATGCCACAAGCAGTGTAAATTTTTTAACCAAATTTGCCTTTTCTGAACATGACTCGATGGTTTTTTTTGGCAGATATGCATATGCCTTAACTCAGATATACCTGAAACTGCCACAAAAATATGATGCAACACAGATTTTTCCAAAATAAAATGCTTGCTGCTGCTGATTCCACGGCTTGTTCAGTCTAGATTTTAAGCATAAATCCAAAATCTGTCCCTTCAGAAGTGTATATACCAGTGCATTTGTCATGCACATTCGGATGAAGCTCTGTAACCACAACTTGAGGCTCGAACTTTTTCCCATGCAACTGCTTCTGAAAGAAACAGTAAACAGAGACAAGTTCCTGACATTTTTCACAAGACATGTATCACTTTTGCTACCTGTATGGATAGAGTTTGAATGTTGACCATAAGAAATATATTATTTAATATTTCTTATTTACACCACATATAGAATACAGAAAAAGACTAACATATTTATTGAAAGTGATTCAAAGGGTTTGGTCTTTTTCTTTCTTTCCTGTAATATGCTGAGTCCTGACTATCAAAATCAACAGCCCTTTCTTTTGAGAAGATCAACAGTCTAATTATAAGTGTAATGATTCCTGGATAACCTCTGGTGATGCACTGATGAATAAAATCTCCCAAGGAAAGGTGCAGCTTCATAGACCCTTAGAGACTGCAATGGGCATAATGAATCCGCAAAGTACTTCAGAAAAACTAGAGGATCATTGGAATTAAAGTTTCCTAGTGTGGGCTAATAAGATTCAGTTTGCTTAGGAACAGTTTAAGTTATTTAATTGAATGTCACATGAATAAGAAGGCTGAGTCATAAAGAATATCTTCTGACAGAATTAAAATTAAAATTAAGTGTAATTTTGGACCAGCAAGAATGTTGTCATGAATATCTCTTCTCCCTACCTTCCTAGCAATAGAAACTATTAATTGCAAGGTTATTGAGACTGATTTATAGAAACATCGACAGAATTATTTGATGACAAGTTCACTGTACTTTGACAAGAACAACCAAGAATTAAAAGTTATGACCTCTTGTTTATGAAATATAACATGTTACTTACCTCCTTATGATGGCAGATTGATTCTATATTTCACATGATTCTGAACGGCCAAAAATAGTATATCGGTTGTTTGCAACATTGTCATAAGCAAAATCTCTTAAGAAACTGCAGCCATCCATCATATGGAACTCATAAACCATCAAGTAAATGAAGAAAGCAGGAAAATCAATTAACAGGATGCAACTTACAGTGGTACGAATTGAAGAAAAAATGCTAGCTGAGGAAAAGGCAAGTCAATGTATTCCATAATCTTCAGCACAGCTTCTGACTTGATATATGCTCTGGAATCAACCAGAAATTCTTAAGTTTCACTCTTTACCTTCTTCTGTATAGCTGCAATGGCAAATTTTCTCTTTCTCTTCAAATTTTACAGTAATCCATTTGGTTGGAGCTCGGAAGTTAAAAGGAAGAGTTAAATTGGTAAATGGTTAAACCAAGAATCTCCCCAAAGAAAGTATTAAACCAAGTAATCATTATTCCACACAGAATTTCCACAACTTACAATTAAATATAGTTGCTAAACCATTTATAAGTAAAGCTCTTCAATACATACCTATCCTTTTCAACCAGTACTACACTTGAGATATCATCAGGAGCTCTTCCCGATCTCTTAAGTAACATTTTGCCTGCTTCACTCTGAAGAGCTTCAAATCTAATTCTCCTGTCAACAACGCAGGAAAAATAATATGACTGAATCACATTTCGATATCTTTGTAGTAGTCAGGTACTTCATAATAGACGCAATGTTCTTTGTCACTGTGTTAAGAGGATGGGAGAAAATGAAAATAATCAAAGAGTAGAAATTTAAAGGAGAAAAGAGTGAATAAGTTTACTTATTTCTATCGTGATCACGAACGAATTTCACACCCCCATTACACAAGTTGCATACACCTGTCACAAGTAATTAGTCGTAAATTAGTCTCAAAATCAAATGCTCTAAAGTTATCTAAATTTGCCAACTACATGCCATTTCTCCTGGGAATGAGTTTCTTTGGTGATTTGCTCGATTTCGGTGTACTTAATTATAGGAAAAGATCGTTAATTTCTCAAACTCATAGCCAAACTGACCAACCAGACCTCATCATGGCAACTGAGTGCCTTGACACACTTGCAAAGAAGCAGATGTTTTCAAAGACTGAGCTAGTCTATAATAAATCCAGGACTAGTGTGTTAGTTTACACAAACGGAATATCAAGCACCTCTACTGCGTAATTATCCGTTTCAAATTGGCTAGCGCAAGAATAACATGTTGGAAATTTGAAGGCAAAAGGAAAGAGAGAAGCTGAATTAATTACCGTCGAATAACATGATGGGTCGTTTGTCCTGATCAAAGAAACTGGAAGTTGCTTCAACCCAGTTGATGGGATCGCTTCGCGGCTGCGACAGAGTGGCGAAGGTGTTGAAGGTGTTGACTCTGCGAGTAACAACAACGGGACGTGCTCGGATGCTTAAGTTGAAGTGCCCAAGAGAAGGAGGAAGCTGAAGAGCCATCGGAAGGGGGAGAGAGCACAACTAGGCCAGAGGCTATGACAGCAAAGACTCAATTTTATTATGCTGCCAGAAGAAAGAGGCGGAAAATAACAACAAATTTTCTGAGGACGTGAGCCTTTGCTGCTCAGGATCTTTTGTTTTTGCCAAGAACAAAGAGCTTTCACGGTACAATAAATATGTTCTTGTTCTGCGCCCAGTCAAAAGACACATGGCAGTTTTATGTCTTTCTTAAAGGGGCAAAATTTATTAATTATTCCCATCTAAACTGATAAAAAAATTATTATTTTTGTAAGTGCAATTTTTCTTAGAATTTTTTTTGTTGAAAAGACAGTTAAATAACCCAAGTTTTTATTTGGATTATTAAAGTAGTCAAATTCCTAATCAAGTCACATGATTAAAAATTTTTTTTTAATTTTATAAAATAACTTTAATACCCATTTTATTAGAAATTAAAAGATAATTTAAATTAACATGTTTGATTTTATATTTAACACGTTTCAATTATAAATTAATAACTTTAAATTCTCATCACACAATATAAGTCTTTGATGCACACAAACTTCATGACAATTTGAAAATTAATAATTTTAATTATGCAGTTAACAAGTTTTATTTTAAATTAACAACTTTATGTGACCAAAATAGTTGTTATAAGTCTTTAAAAATCACAATATAATCTTAAAAATTAAAATGTTTCATTTTACTATTAACATATTTTAATTGTAAATTCACAACTTTTTGTCCTCAAACATATTTACAATAAGTTGTTTTTAAATAAAACTTGATAACAATATAACATTGGAAATTAACATGTTACATTTCACAGTTAACATATTTTAATTCTAAATTTACATTTTTTTTGTTTCCATAACATATTTGCAATAAGTTGTTTCTAAAGTTGATCACAATATAATTTTTAAAAATTAACATATTCTATTTCATAATTAAACATGTGTTATTATAAATTAACAATTTTTTATCTCTATAACATGCTTATAATAAATCTTTGAATAAAAATTTACCACAGTATACAACTATAAAAATAACATGTTCAATTTTAAATTAATAATTTTGTATTATTAGAAAAAAAAACAATTTTTTGTCGGATATCAGGATTAAGAGAAAAGATTTAATATAAAAACTAACCCGTTTTCCTTTCGTGACCAATTTTTGACTTTGTAGCAGTATATGCCCAAAAAAAATTTTTGTTCAAATTTCGTATGCAGGACGAGTTTGCATCTCTCTATGTTTTTAATGAGAGGACGTTAGAGTTATTTTAGAAAATTTTAAAATTTCTCTGAGTCATGTAACCAAATTAAAAATTTGATAACTCAAATAAAAATTTGGATTATTTAAGTACTACCTCCGATCCTATTTAAAAAAACTCGTTTATAGGCTACAAATGAAATCTTATAAATAAAATCTGGAATAGTATCTTTTTAAGATTTTCTTTTTCTTTTTCTTAGACATTGTGATGCTAAGAGCTTTGTTCAAAGAAATAAGAGAACATGCATCACACATGCAAAATTTGAAAAAAATACCACATAAATATTCTACCACAGGGAATAGTATTCAAGAAACAGTGCAAGAAATATTTTGCACACAGTTAAGGACAAATTACAGACAATTGGTTGTGCTAGCACAATATACCTAGGTCCTTAAACAAATACTCCTCCGGTCCTTATTATAAGACCCAATTTGACTTTTTATTTGGTTCTAATTATAAGACCCAATCCATTTTCTCTTTTATATTTATGCATTTTTTTTCCAAGATAATCCTTCTAATAATGATAGTTTTAGCCAATATACTTAATTAGCAAAGATATTAGGAATAACAACACTTATTTATTATAAATAATCAACTTAACTTACTTCCTTAATCTCCTCAAATAAGTCAATTGGGTCTTATAATTAGGACCGGAAGAGTATCAATTATCTTCCCATAATTTGTTTTAGTTTGGAATTTTCGATCAATTTTTTTATCATAAATTTAAATATATATATATCAATATTTATTATTAAAAAATAGCCCCTTTTTAACATTGGAAATTAGGAGTCTGGAGGCTGTAGCAGTGTAGCCTGTGGGTTTGCAGTGCGAGAAGGGAAAAGTTACGGAGTGCGGAAGCGGACGCCACATCCGAAGAGCTGATACAGCGGTGGGAGACGTAGACGTTGAAGCTCCGTATCAGAAAGAAAAAACATGGGTTGGATTGGCGAGACCGTGGACTCCATTAAATCTATTCAGATCCGCCAGGCCCTCACACAGGCTGTTAGTCTTGGTTCGTCCTTCTATTCGCTTTCTTTGTTTGCGCCTGTGGTGTGATTTCGTATTTTCTATATTCCCTGGGACCTGCAATGTCGTGGGTTGCTGTGAAGTAAAAGAAAACGAAAATTAAAATTGAGCACTGAATTAAAATACTTTGACTTTTTTAATTAATATGCATAATTTCGTCTTGCGTTTTTACCAACTAATAAATCAGGAACAACATGTAAATTTCATTTCATCAGTTTGCGTTGAGCCCTGCTGGTTGGAGAAGTGGGGAAAAGTACTGTCTTTTCTTTGATTGTTGCCTGTGGTTATTCTACTTAAGGGCATTATTGCTATATGGAGACTTGAGTCCTTATTGAAATTAAGGTATTCTAATTCTTTTTGTTAAAAGGGTTATCTTTGAGGCTACCCGTGTCCTGTAGTTTATAGGCGGGATGAGATATACGGGGATGGACTCGGTGATATTCAAAATTTTGGTTCAAGCAATGATTCTGGGGGGGGCCAAATTGTGTGGTGCCCTGCAATGATTTCTGCTGCATCCATATTCTATTGCTTCATCTCATAAAAGTTAAAACATTCTTGTTTGTGATGTATAAATATGTCTACTGAATTAGTCTACATTCTCTGTCTCAGGCTTGATTGTTACATCTGCTTTGATAATATGGAAGGCATTGATGTGCGTTACTGGCAGTGAATCTCCTGTTGTTGTTGTTCTATCTGGAAGCATGGAACCTGGGTTCAAGCGTGTAAGTCAATCTACTGAGCGAATCTTCATAAGTTGTCGGAAAATCCATATGCAATTATTGCTATTATTTTTCTTCAGTCCTAATTTCTAAAATCTTGTTGTTTGTCTAATATCACTTAAGCATGGAACCAAAATATATATGCATCTATATTACTTAACCATGTAGTGAGGCGTTGTTTTCCATAATATTTTGCTGTTTCTATATTCATTTCAGTTCACAGATGCTATTTCCATGTTATATCCAGGGAGACATATTATTCTTGCATATGAGTAAAGATCCAATTCGTGCAGGAGAGATTGTTGTATTTAATGTTGATGTAAGTACTCTGTCAGTTTTAACTTCTTTTTTTTTTTTTCCTCTTCATATTTATATCACATATCATGTACAACTTCTTTCATCAAGAGCTTCTACTTCCCCCCTTTTAAATTTCTATTCCCTGCTTTGTCATGTTGTTGAAGAAGTTTTTGTACCATTGGAACATCAATTTAAAGTTGCTCTGATTTCTCCCTTTTCCATTTTAACTCAGGTTTTGGAAAGTAATTTTAATATATCTAGTGATGCTAGTTTATATAATATAATGAACATGTAATTGTGTACTACAATCGTTTGTCCTGTTTCGTTGCTGCTTCCTATTATGTCTCACTAGTTTACTATCTTTACTGTCATGGTTAATTGACAAAAACTTCTTTGATTTAGGGCCGCGAGATTCCAATTGTTCACCGGGTAATCAAGGTAAATATGATATGCTGGTTATACTTGGTGTGCTTAATTTTTGTGAAGTGCTTACGCCGACTTAATGTTACCCTTGAAGTTAATGGCACCATGTGCTTGGACTCGTGTTTCTCTTTTGACAGGACATCTGAGAAAAAGTGATGTGCTGAACAGGTGTAGGCACATATAATTATAAGCTGTTAAAGTAGGAATTTGCCCTCTCTTGGATCTTTAAGCCTATGTTCAATGAAGAAAAAAACATCTTGAACTGTTTAGTGAGACATCTGTAAATTGTTGACAAATAAAAATAAAAAAAGTGCCGGGGCTTTCTGTGGAGCACCTTTCTGTTATTTAATTTTGCTCTTCCTGATAGTGTATTGGTGTGTAATTGACTGCCAACAAAATGGCGAGGAAAGAATTGCAACAAATTGAACTTACCCAGTTTAAGAAACTTGATTAATTCCTAGAGCAAAATTATTTTCAGGGCTTGAATGCTTTTATGTTTTCAATTGACTGAACTGAACTCTATAAATTAATATTACTGTGTTTCAGAGAGTCCTTATCTATGTTTACTTTGTAGGTGCATGAGCGAAATGACACTGGGGAGGTTGATGTTCTCACCAAAGGTAGTGACTTATCACTTGCTTGATGATCTGGTAGAATTATTTGCTGTGCTGTGTGTTGACCTATCATTATCCCCCTCCTAACCATCATGATGTTTTTGAAAAAAAAATGTTGTGTTTCATAATTTTTCATTGCTTTGTAATTTTATTTGTCCATTCATATGGTAATAATTTATAGCCTTGATATGCTCCCTTCATGTATCTTGTTGTCTTCCACAGGAGATAATAATTATGGGGATGACAGGCTTCTCTATGCTCATGGCCAACTCTGGCTACAAAGGCATCACATTATGGGTAGAGCTATCGGGTATAAGATTTCTTCCTTCCAAATACAATTGCTCCATTTCAACCGCTCATTTGTTTTAAAAACTTGTCTTCAAGAGATTATTGCTTGTATGATAGAGCTACCAGGGTAGTCAGTTGCAACGTAAAGATAATATGCCTTCAGTCTTCAACTAACATAACAACATTTCTGCATGACTTTAATGATTCATGCATTTCTGGCTAGATGCTTCATGCCCGCTAGAATATAATAAAAGCGAACTACCAATATCTGAAATTTTGGCCTTTCTGGCAAAAAATAAGAAATTTGGTTCTGCACGTGATTGCCTAAGCTGATAGGGCTAATCCTTGTTTGTGGCCTAAAAGGATTTCTATTGTTCTACCTACTTTCTAAAATTTAAAGCACGTTGGAATAAAGATATTTTTTTGTGCCGTTGCTTAACCTTGTCTTGGGCAGGTTCTTACCTTATGTGGGCTGGGTGACGATTATCATGACTGAAAAGCCTATCATTAAGGTTTGTTTTTATATGCCATTATATGGTTAGAAAAAATCACATGGTTTAATTTGGAATATACTAAGCCTTTTTTTTTCTTTTCTTATCTTTCTTCTTATAGTATATTCTCATTGGTGCTTTGGGGTTGCTCGTGATAACTTCAAAAGATTAAACGAGATGTCTCAATCAAGCTTTGTGGTAACTGCAACTCTAGTATAGTAAACAGATAGTATCACTTTCTTGAAGGTGCCAGATGCCCATCTTGTACCATCTTTTTAAATGACAGACAACATGATGTTGGAGTTGATTCAGAGTAATGGATTTTTATTTCATTTTTAATCGTTTAGACGCCTTATTGGCTGCTTAGTTGCTTGAATCAGACTTTTAAGTTTACATTTTTGTAGTACTATGGTAATTCCGGCTTGACTATATATTACTCCTGAAAAATGAATGGTTGTTTTTGAAATCTTTATAGTTATAATACCTTCAAAATTACCAATGAAGCTACATTTTGTTGCTTCTTTGCAAAGTAGAGTCAGAAGTATTTCACTGCCTGTTGTCCTTAACATCTCGTTGGGTGGATGAACACGGGACATTATATTTTACAAGGGACATAAATTATTTGTAAAACATTAATAATTGGTTCCCAGATGTAGTGACCATTATGTTCGCAGAAGGGCCTAAAATATTAGATATCACTGTGGATATGGGTAAGTGGAGAAGAAATGAAGGTTTTGAATGAGTATTGAGTTCTGACGGCTTACACGTCAATATTAATCGATGATAAAATTGAAAATCAGATGAAGAAAATAATAATTTAGTTATGAAAGAATACACAACCTAAACAAAGCCAAGGGCTTCCTTCCACAAAATCGGAACATACAGCCTAAAAGAAAAATGAAAAAGAAAAGAAAACAACAACAAAGAATAGTATGCCAGAGGCCTAAAAACATTAATGAAATCCAAAGTCACAACTTAAATTCGCAAAAACACTCAGGCAGAGCAGATCCTCTTCCCATGGCAAAATCATCTCTATGAACCTTCCATAGAGCTTGTATCAACTCCTTTTCCCTCAGTCCTTGAAACGTTAATTCTGCAAAAGCTCTTCTGCTCAAAAATAGAGTTCTATATAGTCCCTTGAAAGCTCTCATTGCTGCAACCATCTTATCCATGTTCCCAAAATATGTAGCTATATACGAATCGCTATTAATAGATACATAATAATCTAAAGCAGCTTTAGTATTCCCATGCATGGCTGCGAAATCTTCATTACTTAGGAGGCTAGACTTGGTAAATATGTTAGCGTAAGTAGCTGTCAACCCTTCAACTTCCATCAGACCATCCCCAGCTGCAAGGTATATATTTGTGTTTGGCGGGATGGAAAGAGCTTGAAGTATCAAAGCCGTCTCATTTGGTGTAAGCGGACATTTCCCTCGTCTTCTCCAAATGCGGGCTAACTCACCAGTCCATGGTTTTCTGTCACCTTGTGGTGCTGCTTCTATGGCTTTGATAGAGGCAGGAGAAAGGCCTGGGTACTCGCACTGAGAATAAGCAACCATGTCGGGTTCAAAACGAAGATGAAGTGAGAGAAAGGGTTTTGGTATAACTTGCAGGAGCTCAGAGGCTTTCATTTCCAAGGATCTTGTGAGACGTAATCCTTTATAACATGCTTGACAAAGAGCAGCTTTGGCGTATAGAGGGTACCTACAAACAAGGGGTAAAAAATTCAGAGAACTGCTGAAGTTGATTATAACCGAATGAACGAGAGGAAAGCAAAGGGAAGGGATTTTTTTTCCACGACAATTATTCCCCCTAGCTAGTCTCTGCTTTACGGTTCACGATATTATAAATAAGATGTTAAAATAACCCTATCCTACAATATTTAGAATAGACTGGGGTTTCTGAATTTGCTTCAATATCACACGAGAAGTTAATTATTCCAGCTCAATCTAAATATCCTTCCAATTATGAATTGGGGGGGGGGGGGGAAGCAAAACATTATACGATGAGCCAATCTAGTATTAGGCAAGATGATGGCAACCTCACATACTGACACGGGGGGAAAATCTACTCTTAATTCGTAACTATGGAATGAACATAAAAATCCATTCGGTTCCCCTACAAAAGAAATGGGGCAAAAGAAAGGAAAAATGAAAAAGTAAATTCACGGCCTCATGAAATTATTCAAATAATTAATATTCTGAACATATAATTTCCCGTGTAACATTATTTTCTCTAAAAATGGGGAAAAACAGTGCGACTTATCTCCTGGGAATAAGGACTCAGATGAATATACATACCTGTCCCTTCGTTGGGACATGGCTGGCGTGAAGGAAATATATTTATGCTTTAATAGAGAAGGAAGAACACTTTCGACATAATCGAAATGGCCTTTCCGTTTGCTACAATCCACTGCGACGGGTTCTTTTGATGCAATCTCTGGTGGCAACTCTTTGACAACCTTAACAAAGCCATTCATCTGTTGAATGAAGTAGTCTACATCAAATACATCTGCGAAACCACTGCAATGGAACCAAGTATTCAAATGCAGTTTCAGGTTAGAGGACAATATAATTCACTAACCAACAGATAGATATCTTTACCAATATAAAAATGCAACTTAGAAAGATTTTGCACAGAACAATTACTTTTAATTACTTTTACGTTATATAAACGGAATGATGAATAACCTTGTTTCATTCCAATATGAAGCCACTTCAAACTTTGGCATCACCAGGGTTGCATTTAACAGACGAGCAATGCCCACACCATCACAAAACTGCATTCACCAAATAGCATCACGATATCAGTATTTTAAGAAAGCAACAAGAGGATCAAGAGTTTCTCTATATGGATTTGGTATTCAAGAGTTTTCTTGAGAAACTCACATCTCTACGCATCTGGTTGAGGCCACCATAGCAATCCACTCTGATATACCCATTGGTTTCTAAAGGTAGAGCTGCACCATTTCAAGAAAAAACGAAAGCAATTGTCTGCAATGAAACCAATTACGGTAGTTTCAGAAAGTAAAAAGTGAACCCAATCAGCAGCCCCAGCTAACATGACCTAATTCACTGAAGGGCGCTTCTCAATTTAAAATATATATATCGCTAAATCAATGCCTTAAAGTCTGATCATTCCATGAATACATGAAATACGAGTAAAACTTCCACTAAACACAAGAAAATCTGTTTCAGGCTATAAATTTTTTCGACCTTTGAAGGTTAACTTCTAACTATGCATGAATACAATAGCAGCTCACACCAAATTCTTCATCCGATACTAAGCAACCTCGGATTCATTTTCCCCAAACAAATTCAGTAATCCCTAAAGTTTAATAACATTCAACTTTTAACCACCAACAAAATAGAGAAGTTGTTAAATCCACGAATAGCCGATTTAAGTAACAAGTACCTGTTAGGTGTCCTTGCAGCCACCATTTGCAAGGTCTCCACTCGACGAGGCGCCGAACACTCCATATATCTCCTTCCCCTCTGCATTAACAACGCTTGAAAAGATGTTAAATTTCAAATCGAAGATTCTCAGTTGCTACTTTCTTTCTTCTTTCTTTTTCTATATGCAATTACACTAACCAATCAAGAATAAATTTCAGCATTCCACTACCCACATCCAAATAAATTAGAAATAAAACAAAAGGCATAAGATTGTGAACTTACATGGCCGAATCGGAAGATGTCCGATAGAGGGAGAAAGGGGAAGAAGAAGAAGATAGAAATGAAAGGATAAGAAGGAGAGAGAGGGAGAAGAGCAGGATGCTGAACAAGGGTTTGACAGAGAAAAAGACCATTTGAGACGGGAATTGAAAGCGACGAACGGATCCGCTTTGATCGAATGAGATGCAGGGCGGTATGCCTCCGAAGCTTGGGGCTTTCCTTGCAGTCTCAAGGAATTCTCCTCCGACAGATTTCATTGTCTTCTTGTCCGCGTGATTTTCTTACGCATAAATTAATCAATTAAAAATTAAAAATTTGGATTCTTTTGTGGGGGAAAAAACATTTAATAGATCAGTAGATTCACTGGATTGGATCTAGCTTTGGCTCATACGGATGTTTAGATAGATATAAAATTATGATTTTAAAAATATTTTTATACGAAATAAATATATAAAAAATTTGTTTCCATTTATATAAAAATGTTCTTTTCAAAAATACTTTTTGAGTTAGACAAACACTCTCTTAGTCACAGAAAAAAACAGAGAGAGAGAAAAGAAAGAGAGGCTATAGCACACAAAAAAAAAAGGTTACACAAGTATAAAAATGTTATTTTCTGATCATATTTATAAGTCATTTTTAATATGTTTTATACAAATCAATAAAACCTTTAAACTTTGTTAACTCTCATTTAAAATTTAACAAGTTTATGACTTTATCTCTATTTAATATATAATATACTCTATAAAAACAAAGTCAACATAATAATAAATAAAAAATAAAATTGTACACTGATATAAAATTCTTCTCTCTGTCTTATAAATATGATCAAAAATTTTCTTCTCTCTTTACTTTAATAAATAGGACCAGGAGTATGAATTGTGAAGTTATAAGTAAGTAACCGAGGTAAACGACCGAAATAATTTAGAAAAATTACTGTTTAATCTCATATGAATGAGTAATCGCTAAAAATAATCTCATTATAAGTAATCAATATGTATGTTTTATCATTTCTTATACCCAAAGTTACCGTTATCATTGTATGTTGAAATCCATAGAAGGTGGGTTTTTGCGCGGTTTACCAAGGCTCAGTTAAATAGTTTTGGCTATTATGTGGTTTTGTATAATATTTTCTCCAACAATAATGGGTTTCTTTAAAATATTTGTACAACGTTCAAATTTAATTTTTTGATTAAGGTCAAAGAATGTCTTGTTTTGGTTTTGTGATCAGAAGTCAAAACGTAGGCCGTAAAAAGTCTTTTTGGCAAAATTCGGCTTAGGAAAAGTAGATTAGTCTTCATAGTAAATCGACGAGGATTTAGTTTGGAAGTTGGAGCTTAAAACCAATAATCATTTAATATTACTCTTCCGATCCTTAATATAAGACCCATTTAACTAATTTGATTAAATTAAGGAAGTTAGGTAAGTTAGTTAATTATAAGAAATATAAAATGTTTTTCCTAAAATACCATAATTATCTTTTTTAATGTCCAATCTTCTTCTTCTACTTGATTATGGTTGAAGAAGTATCCATAAAAGTAATTTAAAAAAATTGATAAATATAAGAAATAGGTCTTATATTTAGGATCAAAATCAATTCAACAATTAAGTCGTATATTAAAAACCGGAGGAGTACATTAATCATTCAGACGAATGCCATCTCCCAGTTTAATAACACAAGTCACTTGAGAGTTGCTTAAAATTCGAATTTCATATAATGTCAATGCGTAGTGGGTATATTAATAGGATCTTAATCATGTTTAACTCAAGGCTTTCAAAGACATGATGATGATCATAATGTCACTTGCTTCAACTTAATGGGTAAAATTTTAAAGAAAGTTGATCTCTTTAGCCTGTTGGATTTTGATTTGCTTAGAATTCAATTCTTAAATGTTGATTCTATAATATTCAGTCATGAACTTTTTGCTAGTCCAAAAATCTGTTTCAAATTTTTGTATTATTTATAATTTTGTCATTATCTTCGTAACTTATCACAAGTTAGCATTGAGTCATCCAATATAGCAAAATTGTACTCATAAAATTATACCTATGCGACGTCCGACACAATTTTTAAGATCAAAATATTATCATTTGACTAATTAATTTAGCAATGCATTCTTAAATAAATACTATCCACAGTCCTAAATATAAGAGCTAGTTGACTAATTTGAATAGATTAATGAAATAAGTTAAGTTAGTTATTTGTGATCAATAGGTGTTGTCTTTCCTAAAATATCCTTGCTAATTAAGTTTATTGACTAGAATTATCATTATTAAAAGAACTATCTTAAAAAAAAATATATAAGAGATAAAGTGAATTAGGGTCTTATATTTAGAACCAAAATAAAAATCAAATAAGGTCTTATATTAAGAATCAAAAGTAGTACTACAAAATCATTCCACTTCCGTCATACAAACGTGTGTGCGCAGAATGAGAAACAAAGTGACGATCTTGGGATTTATATTTACGGTGATTCAGTCGGAAGTCTCCATTTTTCTTTGGTACTCCTCCGGTCCTTAATATAAGACCTATTTAACTAATTTGATTAGATTAAATAAGTTAGGTAAGTTAGTTAATTATAAGAAATATGACATGTTTTTTCTAAAATATTATAATCATCTTTCTTAATACTTTATCTTCCTCTTCTACTTAATTATGATTGAGGAAATATCTATAGGGATAATTCAGAGAAAATTGATAAATACAAAAAATAGGTCTTATATTTAGAATCAAAACCAACTCAATAACTAAGTCCAATACTAAGAACAAGAGGAGTACCACCCACCCAAAAAGAAGTAACGCTAATATGAGAATTTTTTTTTTTGGGGTCAGAAAGATGCAGTTGTATTGAGAAATTAAAACCAGTACAAAATCCAAATTTCACCACAAACAATCGAATTAAAAATAAAAACTACAGTACAATAGAAACTAGAGAACAAAAGTCAATCGGCACCAACAAAACCCTGGTCCTCTTCCAAGACAGCAACTGAAAACATGATGCAAGAAGAAAGAGCGCTGGCTAACAATCCATCTAGAAGAGTCATAAATAAAGAAAAGAAGAAACAAGTTGAAATTGGGGGGGTGAGAAACCTAACCATAAAGATCACAAACCCATTAAACAACTCCATAGCTTATCCAAAAAAGCCAGGTTACAACTTTGAGAAGCATTTTCCAAAAGGAAGATGTTCTCCAGAAGAGAAAACAGGACAAAAGACCAGAAGCTTTTTATCCCCTAGATTTCCAGTCCACCAGTGGCTTGTCTTCACCGTCTCACCAGATGCATTCATCAGTCTTAGCCAGAACCATCAATAATCACTTGTTCCTTGAAATCAAACTTGAAATCAAACAAAAACCAAAGGCATCCAGGTGGCACTCAACTTAAATCATCCTTGATTTTCAGCAAGGTTCTTCTGATTTCCAAAGTGAGAATTAATTTGCCACTAAACCTCCAAAACATCACCACTATATCAAAACTTGATTCATAATGCTTGGTTGAAACCTCCGACTAGCCTGTAAACTATAGATCTACTCGTTGCCCACTCTCCTTAGTCCAAAAGCATATCCCCCTGCCTTTGAATCCATTCTCACCGGTCCAAATCTCGTCCTTGGCCATTCCGATTGCCTTGTCGCACCTTTTATTGAAGTTCCGAGCTGCATTAACCACAAGTCTAACACCCACACACACCAACACACGCACACCAGATTCACTCTCCTCTTGCGGCCACCAGGAAAAGAACGCCAAAAGGAACCGCTCACCAGGGAACGATTTGGGCTCTCACGGGGGGGTGAATTTTGCTCTCACAGGGGAGAGTTTTCCAGATAAAACGCTAACATGAGATTGAACGGTGAACTCTTGTTAATTAATGAATTGAATTGACCTGCCTTAAGTTGATATGCATTAACTTTATATAGAGAGCAGACATTAAAATATAAGATAATCATCGGAATTGAATTTTAACTTGAAATTAAAATTTTAAAACATTAAATTAAAACAAATCCGCATCAATATAATTGCAGTGACATCGTATATACTCAATATCAACATCAATATAATTATAAAAATTTGGGGGGAAAACACAAACACACTATTCGCAACAGATCTTGAATTCCACAGAAATGGATATGACCTTCCCAAGGCCTTTTTTTTTTTCCCTGAAAAACAGAATGGATGTATCTATTGTGAAGAATATATAAGAACAATAGAACCGATTTTATAAAGAACAAAAACAAAGTTACATTGAAAATTTAAAAAAAGAATCATTCAACAAGCGCAATGAATTATAACGCTTATCTGGTTCCTTCTACAGTTCTAACAACAAATATGCTAATCAATATTACATATCAGAACGAGATGCAGGAGCAAGCCTGAATAACATCATGCGCCATGCTCATCAACATCTCCATTCTCACCGTCTTCGGCTTCGGCTGCGGCTGCGGCTGCAGCCGCAGCTGCCGCCATCAGCTCATCAAAATTTTCTGTTTTCCCCAGCAATATCTCAATCTGAACCAAGTTTTTAAAGAATGAGAAGTATCAGAGCAAGTGAAAAGGCGGTGGCTGACTATAAAAAGACATGTTCTGGGTTCAACAAGTAAATGACAATTCAAGGAAAATTCTAAAATCCTCTCACCTTGGCCTTCTGGACAGGTCTACCTCTAGAGTCATCCCTTATCTCAACAGTTGATGTCATAATTTCTACATTAAGATCCCACCATTAATCAAATTTGATTCTTCAACCATTTTCACAAAAATAGTTAAGACGGGGCCAAGAAAATAGAAGATAGTAGTATCTTACTCTTTTCAACAGCAAGCCCATTGTTTTTCAAAATTTCAGCAACCGTCACCACCGTCGCGATAGCTTTAATGAAAATATATAGAAAACAATCAAACATTATCGAAACAAATTTAAGGAAGGAAGGTGCAAAGGTAAAGATAAAATGAGAAAGGAATGGTTTGACATGAATTATTAAAAAACTACATCATCTCTGGCATGTCATGCCAGGAATAGGAAACAATTCAACAGTCTGGACGTAGAATACCTAGTATCAATTTCTAGTTTAAGTATGCATACTTGTTTAACCTATAAACCTTAATTTTCTACAAATTGAAGAATCAATTATTAACGCAACAGTTTAGTAAAATAAATGAAATGTTATTGATACTCCAATCTTCAAATAAGATACACAAAGCTCAAGTTCAAAAGGATATATGACTGTCTAAGATCTTCATATAACCATATAGTCAGCAATCCAAAGCCAAACCAATGTCTCGTAGGAAGGAAATGGAAGAGACGGGATGAGAAGGAAAATTTTAGTAAGCTCAATTTAAAAAATTAAAAAAATAGGGTTTTAAAATTTTAATAAAGAGAAGTTGTAAGATAAAAGAGTAATAAAAATTAATTAAAATTTTTATCCTCACTTCTTTAATTTTTCAAAATGAGCTCTTCGCCTCACCTTCCTTTCATTTCCCTCGTACCAAACGGACCCTAGAGGACTAGGCTTAGGATAACAAGTTTGCAGAGAAGTTACCAAAGGGCCTACAGTAGTCAACCAACACTGCATAGCATTTTCATGACTGGCCTGCTCCACCAAAGCCTATTCAGAAAACAGAAATTGTCTATGGCTTTATGAACAGAATTGAGAGTCAAATTGACTTCAAGTCCATACGAGCCCATGAGGTAGCGAACAGCGAATGAAGCCTGAAGAGAAATCACTCCAGCCAACGGGACAACATACGCAGACCTCGGAGAATGATAGAGAATAACTAAGCTCTAAACAGCCAGAATTTTTTTTTTATTCAATCAAATTTTGATATATGATTCTTAATGCAGAATATTAGTCGGTCTTCCCAGCAATAATATTAACATCGGCTGCTCACAATTATGGTAACCAATTTAAACTCTTACGAAATCACTGAATAGGATAGTCACTGCCTTCAACACATGCAATAGAGATTACAGGTTAAAATAAGTAAAGCTATTTAGCTCCAGGACTTCATACCCATTCCAAGTGCTGACAGCTCGACCTCATTATGCTGTTGCATATACCTCTGCAATAACAAGTATAAACAAAAATTAAACAACGCAAAGCACCCCAAAAAAAAAAAACAATAAAAGCTCACAAATTTTCAAACATTTATATCAGAAAGAGTATTCGTTAACAGCAACATATAAAACTCCAAAAAAAGGTCCAAAAAAAATCGAAGGCGCAGGGAACAAACCTTGGCCAAATTAACATAGAAAAAGAGGGGCTTCTTGGTATTAGAGACCTGAATGCGATTCTTTTTGTAAGAATCGGCGATGTTGATGTTGTTAACTCCCTCTGTGATGGCGTCCATTGCACCGTTGTCAATGAGCTACCCAAAAACCCTAATCCATCATCCCCCCAAATGCGGGTAGTTATAGGACGAGCGTAAAAACCTTCAGATGAAAAATCGACGGAATTGAGCTATGGTTCATATGTGGGCTGCCTATCCTGGCCCACTTCTTTGGGCCTAAATAAATTTTGACTTACCCCTTTTTGGGCTAAGCACTTGGACCCAAGAAATTATATTACAAGTTTTTGGCAGAAGCTAAATACTTCAAATTTGAAATGGAATAAGAACTGAAAAAATAAAATGCAGGAATCTGTGTATCAGATACAAGCCTCCAGTCCTTATAACTGTACCGGTCCTTAATATAAGATCTAGTTGATTAATTTAAAAAAATTATAGAATTCAGTTAAGTCAGTTAATAATAATAAATATCACATGATGTTTCAAAAATACCCTTATAGAAAAGTAGCAGTATATTATGAATTCAATTATAGAGTTTGATGAATAAATATCACCTTTGGTCTTCTTCTTTTTTCAAATGAAACCTCTTGTCCTTAAACTTGATATGTACAGGGCACTATTTAGTCTTTCCAATTAATGAAATCCACCATATTGTAATGTTTCATGGGTTATTGTTTCTAAAGAATTTACAAATTAACAAAGTTCATCCGATGTATGACAGAGCCACATATAAGAATTGAACTCTCGGATCACCAAACTTAACTCTGATACCATATCAAGATATCAAAAAAGAAGAGAAGTTTTTGGATAATACTAAATTATTATTAACGAAAACAAGGCATAAAGCCTAATAATATAACCAGAAAACTACTACACTAAGAAACAACACAGGGCCCATTTATATACAGTAAGTCCAAATCTAAAATACTTATTATGTGCTAACACTAATAAATTAACTGCACAATAATCCTCTTAGCACCTTCTTTTCTTAACATTTAGATCAATGGCTTATTGTCTACTTCCTCAATAAATTTTTCAAGTGGTCCAAAAGAAGTTAAGCCTTCTTTTGAGGCCAACAACTCAGCCAGAAGAATGTCATCCACATATCTAATGTTATTGTAAAACGGTTTAATAAAGTTTTCCTCCCAGTCATATAAGACTCCACCTGCGCCACCAATGCTTAATCTATTTTTGGTCAAAATGACACTCCTATACACATTGAGCTTTAGCATACTAGGTACTAGGATTCTCAAATTAGCTTTCTCTTGAAATTCTCAATAAAGAATCTATGATACCTACACAAATTATGTTTTTGCTCTCACTAGTCAATAATAAAAAATTTGCATCCATTGATGACAGTAAAAAATTTGCAGCTATTGTGATGAAAATTATCAGGTGCTAAAATGCTAATATTTCACATTATTTTCCTATGACATCAACGATGGCATTTTGACGATGGTTTTGAAGAACTTCAAGATCATAGTTTTCTATCCGGAGCGATCACGCCTAATTTTTTTGATATCGAACATTCAAGAACGATTAGGACAGGTCACAGTGATTAGGGCTTCGAATATCTCAATCCCAAACTTCATCATTCACCAGTGACTTTAGCGAGTTTAATTATATTGTTGTCTCTGCAAAACTTCAATTGGCTGGTGGAGCCACATATAAGGATTGAGCTCTCAGTTAATCAACCCATCAAACTTGACTCTAATACCATATTAAGATATCAATAAAGAGAAGGAGTTTCTAGAAAACAAGAAGGAAAAAAAAGACACTCCTATGCACATCAAGCTTTAGCACATTAGGTATAGGGGTTCTCAAATTAGCTTTCTCTTTAAATTCTCAATAAAAAATCTATGATACCTACACAAATTATGTTTTTGCTCCCTTGAGACATCTTCCGGTTATGATTAAAAAAGTACTTCCTTAGAAACTAAACATCATGAGTTTTCACTCCCCTTAAAAGTGAAACCGTGATTTAAAAATTTTAAAGTTTCTTCATATCTCTTTTCTTCCATAGAAGTTGTCACCATGTTGCCAATGACCTTGGATGACATTTTAATTGCAAGAAGTAAAAAGAAAAACAAAAAACAACCAGTTCAAAAATGAATGCTAAAAGAATGAAGAAAAAGAAGTTAGTTCTAGTGAAATAAATGTCACAGGTAAGGAGGCTATTTCATTCACAAGGACACAGATCAACCATTGATGATAAAAAAAATTGGAGGGAAAACCTGTTGAAAACAGTCATGAGGAAAGAAGAAGAACCACGTTTTGTCAAAGGGAAAATAGAAGTCAATGTTCCCACCAATTTTTAAAAAACGATCATTTCATAAGCTATGGTGGTTTTTCTAGTTTTTTTTCTTTTCTTGTGATTTTATAAAATGTACTATATTTGTACTTTTTACAATTAAAATTGATAACCTGTAATTGTAACATACTATTTTTAAAAAATAAAATTTAAAAAGTTAAAAAATATAATAAATAATATAATATTATTAATACTTAATTTTTAAAAAAAAAAAGGCCATCTTTTCCACCGAATTTGGTGGAAAAGATGGGGGAGGGGGATGTATTAAATGAAAGAAGCATGTTGGGGAGGAGTAGTAAATAGAGTTAAAAAAATGGAATGTAACAAATGAAAGAAGAATTGGGGGAGGAGTATTAAATGACGGAAGAAAAAAAGAGAAGGAACGAATCAAAGTGGAGAAAATGGGAGAGGGGCGGTGGAAGGAATTGAATGTGGGGTTATTAAATACCTTCACTCCAGTTATTATTTTTCAAGCCAGGGGAAGAGAGAGCAGAAGAGAAAGAGAGAGAGTGAGAGGCAGAGAGGAAAATCAAGAGAAAGTGAAAGTACGTGCTGTCTGAAAGATAAGACTAGATTTGGAGATTATTTAGGTATACAGATATACTTCTTTTTATCAAATTTTCTTTATGACAATTTCCTATATATTAGAGCTTTATATTACTAGTTTTATTATAATTTTTAGAGAAAATTTTACAATATAGGCATGGAGTAAATATAGAGTTTTGACTAATATATGACTGTAGAAATTTAAAGATACATTATTAAGAAATTTTAACTAGTTTATATTTGTTTAATGATTGTTTTGAGAATTTTAAATTAAGATTTTACTTGAAAAATTTGTTATTCAAAGATATGTAGAATGTTTTTACTAATTAAATTTAAGTTAAATAATTTATTTGAGTTATTTAATGTATTATTGAGATTTTAATTGGTTTGAATGTTAAATAGGTTCAAGATATATTTTTGAAATAATTTTTGAAAGCTTGAAGAATTATAAATTGAGAATTTTATAAAAATAAAATTTTATTTATGCTTCAAAGGAGTTGTTTGGTTGAGAAATTTTTTTAAATAAAACTATAATAAATAATTGAGATTTTAATATGAAATATTTAGATTTTGGGTAATAAATGTATATTTAATTAAGTTATTAAATTTAAATAGTCTTATATGTAAATTATATGTTCAAAATAATATTATATATATATATATTATAAATAGCTAGATTTGTGAGAGTTGATATATTTTTGTTTAGAGGGTAGTCTTAGAATTTTAGAGTAGTTTTAGAATAATCTTTGTGTGAATATTTATAAGTTAAAGAGTACCAGGTAACTCTGAAAATTCTTTCATATACATGTAAATTGTGTATGATTATATTGTGGATTTACTAATTTTTATTATACGATATTGGAATATACTCTTCCGGTCTTTAATATAATACCTAATTGTTGAGTTGATTTTAATCCTAAATATAAGACATATTTATCATATTTCTCAATTTTTTCTAAATTGCTCATAAGGATACTCTGTAATATCCTAATATTTTAAATATATATATATGTATAATGGAGTCAACTTTCCACCTAATTCGGTGGAAAGTTGAAATTTAAAGGTTGAAAATTGGGAGAGAGTGGAAAATGGGTAAAGTGTGAAAAGAAGGAGGAAGATTTATGGGAGGAGGAGTTAATGCAAGAAGGAAAATTTGTGACAGGTGGTTGGAATTGCAGAATAAAAGAGAGTAGGAGGCAGAAGGCGAGAGTGCGTGAGAGAAGGAGAGAAATTAGAGAAAGAGAGAACGAGAGAGGAGCAGAGAAGTTTTGGCATTTTGAAGGGTAACACAAGCTTTGGGGATAATCTAGGTAAATAAAATTACTTCTTTTCATCAAACTTTCTTCATGAATATTTCCTATATATTTTAGGTTTCCTAATGATAGTATTACTAAAGTGTTTAGAGAAAATTTTGAGACTTATATATGATATAAATATGGAGTTTTGGTAAAAGATGATCATAGAAATTTAGAGCTAAATGAGTTGTTAATTTTAATTGGTTAGATTTGTCCATTTGTTGGTTTTTGGTGCCTAAATTGATTTTTCTAGTTGAAAAATATGTGATATATGATTTATATCATATTTTACCGATTAAAATTTAGTTGAATAATTTATTTGAGGTGTTTAACATATTAGTAAGATTTTAATCAGTTTAGTTTTATTTATTGGGTGACTGGAGGTTTTAAAATGATTATTGTAGCTAAAAATTTTATTATTTATGGAAATATATATGTATATGATAGTTATATCATTTAAGTTTTGATTAGATTATTTATTTATAAATATTTGAAATATTATTGAATTTTTGATAGTTTGATTTTGAGGTTTAAGCTTAAAATGAGATTTTTAGAATTTAGAACATAATAATTTTATATTTGGAAATTGTGGAAAATCCTTTTTATTAAGGTAAATAATTTGGAGGTGGTAAATAAATAATTTGGCTTGTTAGAAATTTTAAGCTATTCCTAAAATACTTAATAATTTTTTGGTTTATGAGAGCTGCGGGAATTTAGAATAAAAATTCAATTAAATTAGAAATTTAAATAATATATAGAAGCTTAATTAATTAATTAATTAACTTATATTAATATGTGGTTATATTAATTGTGTAGATTAATTATTAGTTAAGCAAAGGATTGACCTTGTAGTAATCCTTTTTATTGCTTTGATGAGAGGTAACTACTTTCCACTTGTTATATGTCCTAATATGTTGTTTGTGAGTATTTTCCTATTTTT